TACCAGCAGAGACTATTAAGGAACGGGGTCAAAATAGGCTGAAACGCAAGAAGAACTGAGTCTTGCAACACAGTGCTGTGACCAGCAAAAAGGACTTTATTTTCTGTACTTCTGTTTGGAGCAACAAGAAGAAAACCTAAGCCCCATCGTTTGGACACAGTAACACAGAGAGAAAGCAAGATTTACTCCAGTTCTGTCATGCTTCCATCTCAAGAAAAACACAATGGTTATCAGAGTAGAGTCACACAGGCATTGATGAGAAGATGGAAAGCCACGATTTCACACTGCCTGGTCCACATGCATTGTGCCCCAGAACACCAGGCGAATTGACAGATGGGATTTATGAAGCTGGTGTCCCCAACCTTTGAGGGAATAAGAAAAAGGTGTTGGCAGACTGAAAGCACTCAAAAGTTTCAAAATGCAAAAAGCATCTTGCACTCTCCAAACTAGTGAGCTTAGTGTCAGCCATCAGGGAAAATTCTGGACTAGATTATAAGGCAAACAGGCTGTGAATACTCCTTAAGAGGCACAGTGAACCCTGAGAGTTGGCATGGATTCACGAAGAATCAGAATCAGGCCTGCTGGACCATCCTCATCTATTTTTAGAAATAGTTATGGGGAGGGCCGGGGCGGGGAGGGGGCACCCAGCTGACTCAGTTAGAGAAGCTTGAGACTCTTGATCTCAGGGTCATGAGTTTGAGCCCTACATTGGATGTAGAGATTACTTAAATGAATAAACAAATAAAAACTTTTTTTTAAATTCACCTTAAAAAAATAGTTACCTATTTCTACCTGATAGACAAAGGAAGTGCTATAGATCTATAGGTGGGGTTTAGCAAGACATTTTCAGAATGTCTTCTGACATCATTGTTGGCACGACAGAGGGATGTCCACAAGAGCATCCAGGAGGGTGAAGGACTTGGTGATGGGACGGTTGGGCAAATTTATAATTGGTTGGATGAGCCTACCCAGAGAGTAATGATGTCAGTCTGTCAGCCTGTCTGCCTGACCCTGTCCTGTTCACTGTTTAATCAAAGCCTGGGATGAGAACATTGATGGTGAGTTTATCAGTTTTGTCAGTGACTTGAAGTCAGGAGGGAATGGCAGTATGATGGATGCCAGAGTCAGGTTTCAGAAATACCTGGACTGCTTGAAACAGTAGCCAGATAATGCAGAGTCTGTCTCTCAGCTCCAACTAATCCACAGTACATACAAGATGGGGGAGAGGAGGTCTAAGCGCAGACCATGGGAGAGAGCCTGAGGGAGATGTTGACAGAGGGTGTGCTGTAAGAGTTGGTAATATGACGAAGTTATAAAGAATAGACAATTTGATGACAGTTTTAATAGAAATAAAATTTCCCAAACAAGAAAGCTCATAGTCCCTCTTTGATCTGCCCTGGTTAGACCACATGCTATATTTATTTCCACACATGACACTTCACTTCTGGACATGACACTCTGGCTTTGACATGCTAGAGTAAACGCAAGGGAGAGTGACGTGGATAGCTGGAAGATTTCAGAGCCATGTCTTAAGATTATAGTTGAAAGTCAGAGCCACAGATACTGGAAAAGAGAAACTGATGATGGCCTGTGGGAGCAGCTTCAGGGATTTGAAAGGCTATCACGGGAGGAGAGATTAAATTACTTCTGGGTAGTTTGAGGTCCAGCAGATGAGAATTGCAGGAAGACCATTGTGCTTTGTAGAAGGAAGACGGCCCTGCCGGTACCTCCCTTAGCAGAACAAAGGCCTCAAGGGTTTTTGTTGGCCTCTCAGAGGACCAGCAGTTGACCAGGGCCCACCGTGACTGCTCAGGGAGTCAGGAGCCCCTCAAACCCCATCTCAAAAGTCCCGTCTCCCAAGCTGAGGGCAAGGACCTTTGTTCAGAAGTAAAGACTGATTTGGCAGAGGCAGTTGGTAAAGGCAAATAAGTCCCTATTAAGCTATCAGCATTCTTGCAGGAAGAGCAGACAGACTTCTAGAGGCAGCCCCCTGATCCAGCCCAGATATATTTTGAGCCCCTGCTACATCTCAGGCACCGTTAGATGCTTCATGCCGGTCATCTTGTTCAATCCCCATAACAAAAGCGTATTATTATTTATCCCCGTCAAGAGGATACTGGCGCTTAGAGAGAGGGTTCATTATCTGCCTAAGGTCATGAGAGAGTCGAACCCAGCACTTACACGTTAGCCACTCTGCCACCTGAAGCAGTCCTTCACCCCCGGCCCCATATCCCTAGCAGTCCCCAGTGGGTGTAGGGCGCGCTTCCCTGGGAGCCCTTCTCCCTTCCAGCCCCCTGGAGCTCTGCCTTCTCTTCCACAGGGAGCTCAGGGCAAAAACAGCCCAGCTGAAAAATTAGGCCACGCTGGCGAGCACAGTACTTATTTTTTTATGACTAAGATTAAGCTGACAACCATGCAAAACATTGCAAACCTGTGTCGGCTGCAGATTTAATACCTCACCCAGCCACACAAATAATTCATGCTTCTGCATCGATGTCCAGAAAAAACAAATCAGCAAAAAGCTGGGCTCCTGCGTGTGTGCGTGTGTGTGTGTGTGTGTGTGTGTGTGTGTGTGTGTGTGTGTAGCAGCCGCATTTCCATTGAAGCAGCATGCCGGAAATACCCAAGCCCCAGGATTGCAGATCTAGCATTTTGCAATTTTTTTTTTCTCTTAAAAGATTAAAGTACGTTTTCAAATGATTGAAGGTTGGTGGGAGGTGTAAATGTGGGCACTTGTCACATTAATTCTTCAGATGATTAAGTTCTTTTCCATTTCTTTAAAGCTGTTTGCAGTTGGGTTTGATGTCCTCGTTCCGGGTGAGTGTGTTGTAGCAGTTACCAAGGTGACTTTAGCTGACTTTCAACAATTTATTTTTCCCTCCAGCGTGAGATGTCTCTAGCCCTGTGTGCTGTTGATTCTTCTCTCTCAGCCCTCCACCCCCCACCCCTACCCCAGTTGCTGTTCATCAGCATTTTGCCCATGCCAGAGAGGCGGGGATCCTCTAGTGGGCCCCGTAGGCTCAGAGGCCCCGCCTGGCAGCCAGGCTTCAGCTCCTTTTGAGCACACGGTGGTATGTCTCTGGGCCCGTTGTCAGAGATGGCACAGGGAAGCGATTGTAAGAATGACACCCTGCCTCTTCCCCTTAAACTCACTCTGACCTCAGGCTTGTCACCTCACCTCTCTGAGCCTCCATTTTCCTCATCTGTGAAAGAAGGGCTAACCATAACCTATACAGGGGGTGCTTGCTGTGAGGACTCAGGAGTGAGTCTCTGGCCTCCTCCCTCTGGGGCAGAATAGGGCTGCTGTCTTCTGAGTTCTGCTCTTGTCTGGGCCCTGAGGGCACCCACTGCGATGTGGTGTTTGGTGGTAAGGGAAGGAGATCTAGCAAGAGGTCCTAGGCTCCCACACTGGCCTGCCACAGACCATCTCTGTGGCCTTGGACTTGTTTCCAGCTCTCCTTTGTAAAGGAAAGAAGTAGATTAAACCACCTCAGAGTTTCCTGCCAGTCTTGAACTTCCATGACCCGCTTGGCCGTACGTAGCATTTGTCTCCTTCACGGGTCTTGTGAAAGGGTTTGTCAAAAGAGAAGCTAGGGCAAAGGGCAGTTTCAGAATTCACTTGGGCAAACCAGAGGAAGGGACCACTTTGTGACAGAGCGGTTACATCTGGGGGTGGATCCACACAGCTGATAGGACTGGTCCCCGTTACCTCAAGGGCTTTCGTAAACCACTGCCTTGGCAGGACCCTGGCTGCCCCATGTCACCCTCTATCCTTTTGCCTGCTGACCTCACACCCTCCCTCTGGGGAGGTTCTCTGCCTGTCGGGGTGCCTCACTGGCCAAAGGCCCTAGCACCTCAGTGCCCCCGGCATGTGAGGAGGTTGGGCCTGCCCCTCACTGACTGCCTGACTGTGGAGCCTGGACATCCTGAATGGCTCCTGTCCCTTGAATGATAAATAACTAGAGCCTCTTACCCAGTGTTTTGATGGACACTTGGGGAATTGTTCTGCGATTCATAGCCCAAACTAGGATCCGGCCTTTTGAATAGGATCAGTGGGTAACCCTCATTTCCGGCTGAGGCAGATTTGAGAGGCTGTCAGTGGGGGCAGCGGAATTTGAAAGAACATATCTTAGATTGCAAAGGGACCCCGTGGCCCAGTTGTGGGCAAGCTGTTGGCGGGAAGCAGGACAGGAGGGAGTGTGAGGCAGCAGTGACAGCTCACTGTGGCCAAGGCCACAGGCAGGAGGAATCTAGTACAGGGCCCCTGGGGCCTCAAAACCCAGCAGGATGGTGGCCTGGTTCTGCTGCCCAGCCAGGCCCACTGGTCTGACTCCTAAGAATCTGGTTTCCACCCCCTCACTGAGGATTGTATCATTTCCTGGTTAGATGAAGGATGTGTATGTCACTGCAGCTCCTAGCCATTAGCAGGAGCGAGCATGCTCAGAGCCTGCTGAAAGTCATAGCCTTTTCAGGGTCGGCTGGAAGGAAGTTCTTGGAGCTGCACCGTCTGGTACTCTAGCACTCCAGCTTTGGAGAACTTGGGAACTGAGACTCCAGGGTGGGGAGAAAGGGCTCCCAGATGCTCCTGCTGCTATATAGGGAAGAACAAGCCACTGCGAGGTAAACTTTTATATAGTGTATTGGCCAAAGATGAGGCTTTGGAACCCAATCTAACTTCGACCAGCTTCCAGCTCCATACTCCCTGGCAGTGGGAGCTGCACAAGTTACTTAACTTCTCTGATCTCCCAATTCCTTATCTGTAAAAGGGATATAACAATAGTACCCACCTCATGGGGATGTTGAGAGTAGTCAGTGAGAAGTGCTTTGCACAGCTGCTGGCATTTGGCCAGCACACGGTGAACGGTGGGTGTTGTTAACCACTATCATCAGTCACGGTCATTGTCATTATTCGGGAGCCCACCCTGAGAGACTCCCATCTTGCTGCTCCTCGTGGTATTTATTTACCTTGTGCTGAACCTGTCCCTGTGCTTGCTTTGCAGAAGCCGCAAAGACAGCCTGGAAAGCGACAGCTCCACGGCCATCATTCCCCATGAGCTGATCCGCACACGACAACTTGAGAGTGTGCATCTGAAATTCAACCAGGAGTCAGGGGCTCTCATTCCCCTTTGCCTAAGGTGAGCCCCACAGCACACAGCTCGTCCTCAAGGAGCCACCGGGCCTATGCGTGCCTTCTCCCACACACCTGGGTGGAGTCTGGGACCCAGGGAGGGAGGAGAGCCAGTCGGGCAGTTCCATCTTGGGCCTGTGGGGGGCCTGTGGACTCTGAACCAGGCTGTAGCACACACTGTGTGGAAGAACACTCCTTTGTCCAGAGAGGTGTCCCTCCAGCCTTACTCTCTTCGGAAGGCTCAGTGGTCTCGGCAATCTCAGACGCCCCTACCATCCCACAAGCCCAATGTCAGTAGCACTGGAATAGCAGGGCAGGGCTCTGGTGGGTCGGGCTCTATTTTCCTCTTCTTGTTGCTTTTCCCATGCATAGCGCTCAGTTCTCCAAACCCAGTGGCCAGCACAACAAACTCCTTGAGGGACCAAGAAGCCCAGCTGTGTCCTTTCTGCTGCTGTCCACAGTGCCAGAAAACCCAGCCCTGTGGCCAGCATTCAGCTCTCTGTTTGGGGATGCTGCACTGGGCTGAATCTGTTCAGCTGGCTTCTTGCATAGCCCTTGGGGTTTCCACCCTCACTTTTATAGCAGGGGAGGCGACCAGAATAACTCTGAACTCAGACAACATGACAAGGAAGAACGGGGTTACCCTGGTTTGGTCCCTCCCCACTGAGCCCAGAGCCTGAGAAAAGAGTTTGGATGCTAACCAACCTTGGCCAACCACCCTGGGCAGCAGGGCAAAGATAGCAAGTGGTCAGAACGAACAAGGGCTGGAAAGACCCCCCCACCAGGACCCCAGCCATTTCCTCCCCAGCTCCCTCTCTGGCCCAAGCTCAAGATCTTTAGACTGGTAAAGGGTTAATCCAAGGCAGCCTGAGAAAGCAAAGGGGCAGGCTTTGCTTCCTTTGCTGACTGGCATCTCTGGCTCACTAGTTGTCCCTGCCTGCCCTTCCCCCAGGTGTATTTCCAGACTGGGGATTAACAGGAGCTTCTTTTTTTTTTTTTTTTTTTTTTAATTTTTTTTTTCAATGTTTATTTATTTTTGGGACAGAGAGAGACAGAGCATGAACGGGGGAGGGGCAGAGAGAGAGGGAGACACAGAATCGGAAACAGGCTCCAGGCTCTGAGCCATCAGCCCAGAGCCCGACGCGGGGCTCGAACTCACGGACCGCGAGATCGTGACCTGGCTGAAGTCAGACGCTTAACCGACTGCACCACCCAGGCGCCCCTAACAGGAGCTTCTTGTGGCTCCCTCAGAGTGACCCCATTTGGCTTCAGCTTTGATGATGATGATGATGATGGTGATGATTATGATTTACGATTTATTTGTTTGTTTTGAGGTATGCTTGTGGCCTTGGGGCTAGCCATTTTTTTTTTAAGTTTATTAATTTATTTTGAGAGCGAGCACAAGTGGGGGAGGGGGGGAGAGAGAGAGAGAGAGAGAGAGAGAGAGAGAGAGAGAGAGAGAGAATCCCAAGCAGGCTCTGCAGTGTCAGCACAGAGCCCGATGTGGAGCTCGAAGCCACACACAGCGAGATCTTGACATGAGCTGAAGTTGATGCTTCACTGACTGAGCCACACAGGTGCCCCGGGGCTAGCCATTTTGTTCTTGTGGGAGGTCTCAGGAGCAGGTGGCAGACACTGCCCTGAGCACAGGAGTTGTGCTGCGAAGGCACTATGCCATCCTCCCTGGGGCTTGGGAAGTTTGTTTAGGTACTGCTTCACCCCCACCTTCAAAGTAAAGGGGGACATGACCCTGCTCTTAGTTCTGGGCATGGCCTTGGGCGTATTGCTAACTGCCTTCTCTAGTCTCAGTTTCCTCACCAGGACGTGAAGGAGGTGTACTCCACTGCCCCTGCAGGCCCTTTGAATGCTGATCTAGTGTCTCTGCTAGCTTTGAGCACTTCGGAAGAATGGCAGTAGAGAACTCGTGAGAGGTTTCTCTTGGACCGTGTTTGGTTACAGTCCCCTGTTGGCGGGCAGGTGGGCAGTCCAGAGGGCATTTGCCAGGCACCTTGTCCCAGGGAGCACAGCCCCCACAGTCCCTGAGCCTTGGCCAGGCCTGCTGCTCACTGTCTCTGTGTTCCTACCCCCAGGGGCAGGCTCCTGCATGGACGGCACTTTACGTATAAAAGTATCACGGGTGACATGGCCATCACATTTGTTTCCACGGGAGTGGAAGGCGCCTTCGCCACTGAGGAGCACCCTTACGCAGCCCATGGACCCTGGTTACAAGTGAGAGGCTCCTTTTCTTTCCCTACCTTTTTTCCCCCCTCCCTACCTTGTCTTCCGTGGGCTCTTCCCACACCTGCCTCCCCCTCCCCTCCCTTGGCAGCTGTTGTTGACTCCCTTCCGGAAGGGCTGGTTATGGGAAACCATGTGGAGTGTGGATGCTGCTGCCTATCCCATCAGCTGTAGTACTTCCCGGCCTCTCCGCCATCCCCTGAGACACCAGGGATAACTCTCTAGGCCCTGGCCATTGGTTTGCCATGGAAATCTAGGTTTGAGAGGTACCAGACTTTCCGCACCCCGGGTAAACCAAAGTCCAGGAAACCAAGGGTGAAGCAGGATAAGATGGAGTCTGGAAGCCACTTGCAGGTGCCTCTGTAGAAATGCCACCAGAACTCCTAGATAATGGACCTGTGGACCTGGACTGGGGCTGGGTTGGGCAGGCCTCAGCAGACAGAGCCTCCCTACTCCCCTCATCTAATGGTTGTCCTGTTCCTCCTAATGGAAACCCAGCTTTTCTGCACAGAAACCTGCTGGCTTGTCCAGAACACTTTGTCCTTCCTTTGCTCTTCTGGCTGGAGCACAGCTTCAGAGCCACTGCCAAGTGGGGTGCTGGGACCTGAGAGCCACAGGCCTCCTTCCAGCCCCCACCCCTGTCCCAGGTCTATAACTGGTGCTTGGCTGGTCCAGCACACTCCCAGATGTGTTAGGGGAACATTGTTTTTTTCTTTGTTTGTTGGGTACGTGGGAGGAGGAAACTCTACCTTACCTCTCTGAGGAGTATCAAGAAAGGGGATCCGACAGTAATTCAGAAATTGACTGTGCCCTGTTTATGGTATATGGAAGGATGGTTATAGTAGCGGGGAAGAGAATTATGCTGGTTTTGTGGGGTTAACCCTGTCTGGGGGGGTCTGTGAAACATACTTAACTGTCGATGTGGGCGTGTGTGTGTGTGTGTGTGTGTGTGTGTGTGTGTGTGTGTGTGGTTGAGCTTGCCATTGAATTTCTCCTCCTTCAGGCCAGCCCTCCCCGCCGCCCCCCTGCACAAATACTAACCCTTAATTAAAACAAACAGCAAACAAAGAATACCAACCACACTCCTCAGACTAAGTGAGGAAGAAATGGAAGCTAGTGCTTTAGGAATATTGTGTTCCATAAATTATCTTGCCTTTTTCCACTGTTGTTATTACATTGTTTCATAACAAAATTACTTTGAACCATAAAGTTATAAATACATTTTAAAAGTCCCACTTGGTAACATTAGATTTCTGTCCATGTGGTGTTGGTAGTTACTGTAGCAAAAGCTCTGAAGTGTAACATTTGAAACTAGCCCAGCACAAGTGGAAAGGGCCTCCCTGCCCCCCACCGCCCCACCCCAGCTATGTCCCAGGAAGCAAGGCTGCCTCTTGCTGGTAAGGAAGGGGGAGGTGGGGACCCAGCAGAAGGGTTAACAGATCATCATTCCCAGTAGATGACTGTGCTGACAGGTCTCAGAAGTGTCCTCAGATGGCATTTGTGTGTATTGGAGGTTCAAGCACATTTTCTTGGGAAAGTAGGGACCAGGGTCTCCCCAAACTCAAGAAGAAATTACCCCCAGTACGTTTTACATCTTCAAATCTGAACCTGTCCTTAGAGTCTTGCCATCCCCCTTAGAAAGTCTTCTCACCCTGAGGAGGGGTTGGTCAGCATCACCATTCTCATCAGCCTAGGAGCCCCAGCCCCCAGAGGACTCAGCAGATGTCATGATGCCCCTCAGGGCCCCCAGAATTCTGAATCCAACCGCTTATCCACAGGCTACTGGCGTTGTACTCCCAGCCCCACTCCCCTCACCCTGGGGCAGCCCCCTCAAGGGAGCTGGAGCACTGGGCACGGCCCCTCCCATGCACTGTTGCCCAGGGAACCGGAGCGGTGGGAACCAGCCGCTAGCCTCGGCATGTTTCAATAAAGTTGCTGTGCTGGGGAGCTGCTTAATCAAAGGCCTGTGTTACGGGCTCATTAGTGTGGTCCAGCACGGGCCAGCTCACAGGGGAGCTCCTAGGAAGGCTGGCTGGGGCCCCATTCCCCAAGCCTGCACCCTCACTCACCAAGGGGATTCTCAGGCCTAAGGAGCCCTGGGAAACCCTCTGCCCGTACCCCCCACTCTCCATCCGCCAGTCCTCAGCCATGGAGCCAACACCCAAACAGCTCTCCTCCCTGCCCTCAAAGCAGTCAGCACTTTCTGCATCTGACTGCCAGTTCGCCTTCCCCTTTAGGGTCTTGCCACTGTGGTCACGGGCAGCTGCCTAGCTTGTGGGAACCTGGGCTTGTAATTACTTGTGGGCCTCTGGGGCTCCCTCTGGGGTTGGTTGTCTCCCCAGGAGTCTGCAGGACCTCTTGGAGGTCTGGGATTAGGCTCATTACCAAAGAGGGGCCTCTCCACTGGACCAAGAAGGGCCCCAAGCCCCTCTGGAGGGAGTTCCCCAACACAGAGAGGACAGCCCCCCCCTGCAGGCATCTCTTGCGCGTGCTCCCAGGATCTGGGGTGTCTCGTTGGCCTCTGTGTGCCAGGCCTGTTAGGGACAGAGGAGCAGGAAGGAGCTGAATGCGGCAGGCCCAAGAACGTGAAGAGCTCTAGACTTCTGTTTTCTTGGCTGCTGCTTGAACTCTCCCTGTTGATCCCAGCTGAATGGGGAGGGGCTGGGATGACTTTCTTACATCAGCCTCAACAGCCTTGGAAGCCCTGCTCCCAGCCTTGGCACCTTGTTCTGGCTACCAGCCCGGGCCTGTTATCTCTTGGGGAAAAGGCATGGCAAAGACACCCCACATGGGGGAAGAGTGACAAAGGAGAGGCTGAGAGGAAAAGGCAGAAGGTGAGGGAATCCGGGCCCTCACTGGAGTGTGCAGAGTGGCCCCACACAGGCCTCCACACCCACCTTCTCCTGGGCCTGCACCTACCCTCTATGCTCCTCCCCTTCCCCCACTCTCCAGCTGCAGGAAAGTCAAGGCCCCAGCCCAGAGAAAGGCAGGGCCGTCTGCAACCCCAGGGTGAGCTCAGTGGACACTCCCTGCTTCCTGGAGGAGCTGGAGAGTCAGGAATCCTGCACCAATTCCATAGGCTTCTCAGTTTCCGGAGGTCAACACCTTGACTCCATCTGCCCTACCATCTGCTGTTTTCATCCTCGTGGAGATTGTAAAGCCTGTCAGCCAGCTCCAGAGCTTTTCAGGAGGGTCTCCAGGCCCTGGGGGAGGCCTGCCAGCATCCTCTCTTGCACACCTTCCCCCAGCATTCCACATCCCGGTAGCTTTAACAAGCCTCTCTCCCTTGAGGCTGTCAACATTGGGTTGTTAGTCTTCTGAGCAGAAGCCCAGCCCAGAACTGAGTCGTTCATCTATCCCCAGCCAGGGTTGATCTGAAGGGGGGAGAAGTCAGCCCCAGAGGTCACATGGAGGTCATATCACCAAATATGAGAATATTTTTTTAGGCCCTGCAATGCTTTCTCAGCTGTGTGGTGTCTGATAGCTCACCCAAGTGGAGCCCCCATTCCCAGCCGTCCCTGCGAGCCCTGATGGGAGGCTCCGGCCTCAGGACACGATGCCCAGCTGTTGTTCCGAGTGGGCTTGCCGCTCCAGGCCAAGTTTGGGAATCACTACTGGGCTCTGGTCCTAACCCAGTGGCTGACTCACCACTGTCCTCTGGACAAGCCCCCGCCTTCTGTCCTCATCCACCCATTTGGACGTTGTGTGGAAGACACTTGGCAGTCCCTGGCCCAGGCCCTGGGCAGCTCCTCTCCCGTGCCTCTACTGTTTCTCCTTCTTCTGGTAAACCTGGCCACAACCTGTTCTCCCTGGAGACGTTTGCCGTCCTGGGACCTCACTGTCCCAGGGTACACCCATCAGGGTTTAAATCCTAGCACTGTGCCTGGGGAGTACAGCACCCTCCCTTTAGGAGAAGACTGTGATGGCCCACTCTGCCCTCACAAGCCGGCAACCAGAGCAGGAGGGCTCTGAGCCTGCTCCTGGCCACCAAAGCCAACTTCTCACCACCCACTGAGAACAGGAAATGAGTGTGTGCCACACACACCTCTGCCCCCAAGCCTGGGGGGTCTCCAGGCTGTTTTCCGGCTTTCGTCTGGCCTGTTGGAGTCTGGGGAGGGGGGTGGACACAGACCGGACTGCTTCCTCGTCCTGCCTCCTCCTTGGCCATTGTGGGTGCCAGAGCAGCTCCTTGGCAGGCCTTACCCTGTAAACAACACATTTCCGCCTCTGAGAGAAGGAAAGAGAGGGAAGAAGAAAGCCAAACTTGTTGGGAAGCAAGAACAACGTGTCAACACGAAGAGCAAACAGGGCCCCGGACAAAGTGTGGATTGTCATATCAAGGGGAAGGAGTGGGCATTGTCAACGCTGTTTGCAGACTCAGAAATAGCACCAACCACAGACGTTTGAATCAGATCTGCAGCAGCTGGGCTCCTGTCTGCGGCACAGCAGGGCCTGCCCAGGGCAGGCCCCATGAAAGATCACTTTTTGGGTTCCTTGTGGACCTTGCTGGGGCTTGGGGAATTGGGAGATTATTGACAACCTTCCCTCATCACGAGCCAGCCAGGTTGTCCTAAGGCACCTGGTGTGAGCACTTGGAGTAAGCTGCCATCTGGATTCCAAGCCCCCTTTCTGACCAACAGTGGGGGTTGGTAGTGGGGAGCAAGGAGCCACTGCTCCCCTCACATCTTGGCCAAATAGAAGGTGTTGAAGCTGCAGCCACCAACTCACCCCTGTTGGTTAAGCCTGCGCCCAAACCCCCTTCCCCTGTGAGCCTGGGTATTTCCCATGATCCCCTGGGGTGCCTCAAAAGTGCAGATGCCTTGGCCTTGCCAGGATATTCCAATACTGAAAGTCTGGATGGCATCTTCATATTTTCAGAAGCTTGCCAGGGGAGTTTGCTGTTCAGATTGGTTGGTGGGAGCTTTCTCCTCTCACCAGAGAGCCTCCTGCCTCCAAGGGCTGGTTATACAGAAACCTAAGCATTTTATGCCCAGCTCATAGGGACCACGTGTTACTGAGTGCTGTTGTTATTTTCAGTATTATTACTGTTATTTCTACTGCTCTTTTCTGGGTTAGAGTAAATGTTCCCTTATGTATGCATTCACTAAGCTGGCCTGGAAATTTGCCTTGCTGTTCCCACTTGGAAACCATCTTTGGGCATGGTTTGCCTTCCTTTCCAGTTGGCCAACTCAATTTTTGAGCAGCTGGGTGTCTATGGTACTCAGCCGTCTTGAGCTAATCAGGGTTGTTCTTCTCGAGGAGATATAGGTCTGGCTGGGGTTAGGACGGCTGGTTTTCCAGGCCATCGGTAGAAGCCAAAGTCACCTTTACCTCCCCTTTCAGAGGAGAGAGAGAAGAGTTAGCCTTGAGTAAACAAGGCTTCTAGAATTGAGGTATTTTCTCCAGACAGGAAAAAGAGTATCCTCTACCACCATGAGGTCAGATCACTGTTCTAAAGTCCAGGAGCCTTGTCTCCTCTCGACACCGGCTCGTCTGCAAAATGGGGGTGATAGTTACTGCCTTTGCGGGACTGCCAGGAGGGTTCCGTGAAACGATACCAGTCAAGCGCTTAGCCCAGTGCCCCGCACATGGAGGAGGCACCACTGCTTCTGCCACTGGTGGTGTTATCATTGCCACTGTCTTCATAACCATCCTGTTTTCATTTGTGGCAGAGCCAGGCAGCTCCACAGGGACCCAGTGAGCTTCAAGAGCCCCAAGCGTAGCATCGCAGGCTTTTCCCACAGTTGCATCACAACGGCGAGTCTGTTGCTCATGAGAGCGCCCAGGAGCTGCTCCGTCACAGTTGTCTATCTCCAGTGTCCTGTGGATAAGATCTGTTACCATTCTCAGCTCCAGGTCTGAAATATACAAAGAACAGGGCCTGCTTGTTCAATCCAAGCTTCTAAGGTTTAACTCCCAAAGGAAATTAAATTAGCTGCCTGCAGCTATGACAGTCTGTCGTGTTTCTTTGCAGGGAATGTCACCCTTAATATCATGCAGATCTTATGTATAATTTTCTCTGTTTAATTCTTTTAAAATAACGTGAAGTTTCCAGCAGGAACCAGCAAAGCACCAAAGGTGAAAATTGAGGAGTAACTAGGGTTTGTCCCCTTTTCTGGTCTTGCCATCCCTTCCGCCAGCCAGGTATAAAATGAGTCCACACACAGAGGGTACGTGCTTGGTGGTTGTTCTGCTAAAAGCCACCATAGTGTACCCTCTCTCCACCACCTATTCCAGACCTTTGTCACAGGAACTGGCTTAGGACTGAACTCCACGTTAGTGGGGTTGCCTTTCCCTTTGTCGAAAAATGGCTCTTCGGTGTCTCACTGGGTGGTCCGGTCCCGGTGAACCCTCCCCTCCACCTCAGCCCAGCACTATAGTCCCAGACCTATTTACCTTTCTGACAGAAAGTCCCTCCCTCCAGATTATTTGTGGCTTAGAAATCAGCCCGGCCTGGCCCAGACTGGAGCCATTGTAATGTAATTGGGTTTTAGGTATGCTCGTGTTTGTGCTAGCATTTGCAGAGATGGCAGCAAGCCCCGGAAATGCCAAAACCATGAATGTGACTTTTGTACTCCTCCCGCAGACTGGCGATAACTGGTAGGGAAACTCTGGACTTTGAGAGGGGGGGACCCTGGGATAATGGAGGGGCATGGGCCCTGGCAGTGGGAAGACTGAGGTGTGATTAGGAAAGGGTCCCTGGAGTCTGGGAGTGCTCAAGGTGCACTTGGAAGAAGAATGTGGGTGGGAGGGCCCCCCCCCCCCAAGTGGGCATTTCTCTCCACTGACTTTGCCTGTTTAAATCTGGTCTCTGCCCTCACCTGAGGCCTGAGCTCCTCAAACAGAAGAAAAAAAAAAAAATTTGGTGAGGTGGGAGCCAATGGTCAGAGCCGGTTTGCTGCTGACTGTGGGCTTGCAGCCTGGGAGGATGTCCTTTGGCTCCCTGTCAACCAAGAGAGGGTGCATGTCCAGGTAGAGTGTAGACTGCTTTCATGCCTATGTCTCTGGGGCTCCGCCCAGGGCCAGGCCTAGCAGAGGCACCCAGGGAATGCTGTGGGATTGAACAGATTGATGGGCAGATGAGTGGAAGAATGAATAAATGTGTAAATGTTGTGGGGGGAAGAGCAGTACTTCGGGGATGACTTTAGAGTCCAGACACGACTGGGATATGGTCTTAGCTCAGCCACGCACAAGCCACGTGACATTGGGCAAATTACATAACCTGTCTGTGCCTCAGTTTCCTCATCTGTGAGGAGACTGAAGGAGATAAGATACACTGAGCAGTCAACACAGTGCCTGGTACAGAGGTGGTTTGCTCGCTCGGGGTCATTTTCTCATTCCTCGCTCCCACCTCCAGGCCATCAACTTCCTTCCTCTGGAGCCCTCCGTCCTCTGTGGTCCCCAGCAACCCTGCTTGCTGCTCTCCCACACTGCTCTGCCATTTTACTTCATCGCACAAGCTGACTGTGTTCCAAATATTGAAACTTCTCTTCTTCCCAGAGTGGACAACTCCCAGGGGAAACCTGAAGGGTATTTTCTCAAGTTCTCGATCCCCATCCTTCTAAAGGGGCTTCCCTCAGAAGAGTCACTCACCTTGGTCTTCACCCCATTGTCCTTCTTCCTCTGTGCCTCACCCAAGGTGTTCAGAGTTTGCTGGAGGAGGCAGAACAGAGGCAGGTGGACCCACAGCCTGGAGGGTAGGGAAGGGTCAGGTGTGGAGACCAGGAGGCTCCTGGACCAGCACAGGAAGGAAAAGGGTGGAGGAGAGAGTCAGGTTGGGAAGAGGAAAGACATCCTCAGCCTGGGCCCATCGTGGTGCAGGCCTGGTGTGAGCTTGTCCTAGCTCTGCAGAGCCAGCCTGAGCCAGCTGGGGAAATGGCCCACCAGCTTGAAGAAGGCCTGTGAGGGTAGTGGTTGTGCCAGCTGAGTAGTGGGGCCAGGCTGTCCTGAACATCAAAGCGTGAAGTGACAAGGCATCAGACTAGAGCAGTGAAGTGGGACAGCTGGGAGGTGACTTGGAGGAGAGGTTTCTCGAAGGAAGCTTTGGAGAGCTCAGTGGCTGAGTGAGCCCAGCAGGGCAGGGGTTTGGGAGCTTCCAGCTTGAGATGTGGATACTGCGGAGGGAAACGGGTTGAGAGCCCCTTTCCCATCTGTAAAATGAGAGAGATTGTGCACAATCTGCGAATTCTCCGGCTTACACATTCTTGGATGTACCTTCTGGGGCATTTCTAGATTCCAGACGAGGCTTGTATTCCAAATCCAAACAGATTCCTTTTGTCCTACCAAGTGGGGGGTAAAGAGGAACATGTGAGCCCAGTTGGGCACGGAGGATGGTTGGCAATCTCTGTTCCCCAGCCATCAGCTTTTCTGTTTCCTCTCTGCTGCACTACTGCGTGCAGGGGGCCCGAACTGCCAAACAGGCTCTTTTCCTGCCCATTCCTTTGTCCCTTCTGGGGACCGGCAGTACCATTCTCCCACGTACCCACACCTTGCTTCCCCGTTGTCCTGTGACAGCCCTCCTTCACTGTCCTCGTCCCTCTGATATGGCAGGCTGGTGGGAGTTGGGGGGAAATGACAGTCAGGGATAGGCTTCCAGCACTTCCCTCTGTCCCTAGAACAGATCCACCACGGGCTCATATCTCCTCCGTGGCCAGAAGAAAGATCCACAGCTTGGCAGTTGGCAAAAAGACCATATATTAAGAAATAATAATAAAAGCCTGTCTTGTGCCTTCTTCCCAGATTCTGTTGACTGAAGAGTTTGTAGAGAAAATGTTGGAGGACTTAGAAGATTTGACTTCTCCAGAGGAAGTAAGCCTGTTTGATTCTCTCTAACAGCGGCTTCCAGTCTCCAGGAGCCTGTGTGTGTCTTTCTGTCTGTCTGTCTCCAAGGTGTGGGGATAGGCTGGAAAGGAGACCCTGGAGATGTTAAACGGCTTTATTTCTGTCTTCCCACCACCCCCTGCCCCACCCCAGCTGCCATAAGGACACCCAGCAAATTGTCCAAATTGGTGGCTCCGAGAACCTCATTGAAGAGGCAGCCAGGGCCTTTGGGCTGGTGGTTCTCCTCAGCCCCTGCTGTTCCCTGGCAGGTTCTGAACAGAAAGCCCACGCCTGCTGCCAGAGAACATTCCACTGGGGAGTTCTGGTGGGCAGTAAGGGACTCCTGCTCTCGCCTCAGGCCACCCAGGAGCCAGCCTCCTTCCTTCTCCAGCCATGAGCTCTCCCTTCTTGGTCTGCCTCTTCCAGCAGGAGGAGCTAGCAGGCCAGGTGGGGGCTTGTGCCTTCCCTGGCTCCTCATCTGGGGTACATGAATGGAGCCCATAATCCCCTTTGTTTTTCTTCCTTGTTCCTGGCATCCTCATTTGCAGGGACTTACCTCATCCTGGAAAGTCCCGTCCCCTCCCCCGGCCTCCTACTAAGCTGCACCCCAGTGGGATCTGAGCCTTCCTGGCCTCAATGCCCCATAGGTTAGTGGAACATTAGCAACCTAGCCAGGCCTCTGGAGGGCCCTCCTCTGCCTATGCGAGAGACAGACAGATGCTTCTATTGGCCTTTCTGCCGGGAAGTGTGTTTGGGGGAGAACTCCTTCACCTCCCAGCAGCCAGGCTTTCAAGCCAGAGGGAGGCCATGCAGGGGCTAGATTTCAGCCAGGGCTGGAGTTTACAGCTGCCAGGGCTCCCAGGGCCGTATCAGCCAGGACATGGTGGCCTCTGATGTCCACCAGGTGGAGGAGAGAACACAGGGTGAGACTGTCCTATCCAGGTCCCCAGGTGGACAGGAACTCCTCAGAACCTGAGGTCACCTCTGCCCTCTGGGATGTGGCTTGATAAATTAACTCATTTATACATTCCAAAGTCACCAAGCACCCAGTCTGTGCCAGCCAATCAACCCCCACAAGTCACCGGTCCCTGAGGCCTGGCTCCTATTCACTCAGACCAGAGCCAGCTGCCCAGAAGTGCTTCCGGAGAGGCCGTGTCGCACTAGGATGGCACCGTGCCAGACTGCTGCTTTGAGCTTGGGTGTTGAAGGGGTAGGAGGGGGACAGTCCAGGCAGGAGGGACAGGAGCCAGGGGGAGCTTAGGAAAGTAGGTCACTAAAAATGACTTTTTTTTTTTTTTTTTTTTTTTTTTTTTTTTTTGCTTCTCTGTCCAGAGGCTGTCCCCACATCCTGCCCCACTCTCACTCACTTTGGTCCTGGCTTGGACAAGTCCCCCATCAGAGGGAGGGAGAGGGGGCCAGCCAGGAAGTATTAGGTCCGTCCACTTCCAGCCCCAGCTCTAGGCAGGCTGAGGGCCCTGTTCTTCCCACCTTTCCAGGCTGGGCTGACTTCTCACCTAGCCCTGGGACAGTAGGAGACATAAACAGCAGACCCAGTTTCCAAGTCAGTGAGCATCTAGTGAGCACCAGCTGTGTACCAGACCACATGCAAGGTCCTGGAGAGGGAATGAGATGTATCAGCCTCTTTCCCCTACCCCAAACAGAAGCCGGAGAAACAAAACTGTAAGCAAATCCGTGATTCCTGGGCTGGGGTAGGAAGAACTTGGACTCTCTTTGGCTTCCGCTGGCACCATGCTCAGGCTGGTAACCCTGGGTAACAGATGAGCTTGAATCAAGGAGAGCAGGATGGGGATGCACCAGGCCCAAGAAATCACCTCCAGCCACCCTTGTCCTGCTCCCCTGCTCCCACTGAGGCCAAGCCAGGGCCTCCTTCCCTTTGGACCCTTTGGCCAAGGCCACAGGTTCCAGGGTCCTTCTGCACCAGCCTCTGGAAGAGAAGCCATGGCAGGGACAGGACCACAAAGTTCCAGACCTCAAGCCACTTCCCTGTATCATCTGCACCCTCCCCCTGCCCCCCATCCCCCCAGCCCCAGGGCCTCAGGGAGCAGATTCCTTACATGCTTGTGGCCGGAGGCAGAACCAAGGAAGTGAGCTGGAGGGAGGTCAGCACAGTCAAGAAAGAGTTAGAAAACATGCCTCCTCCAACCCCAGTTAATTATTGGCAGGGCAAGGGGAAAGAAGGGGTCACCGAACTCCAGCAGCTTGACCCCAGCCACCCACCTGGGAATAGCATTTGCAGTTGAAGCCAGGCAACCAGTGGCCTCTCTTGCCCCCAGCACCTGGGGGACAGAGCATGGGTGAGGGCCCTGGCCTCTCTTTAGGCAGCCTGGAAAGAAGGCAGTAAGTTCTGCTAACTGTGTGCACTCTGGCTCTGTGCTTGCTCCCTCCACAGTTCAAACTTCCCAAAGAGTACAGCTGGCCTGAAAAGAAGCTGAAAGTCTCCATTCTGCCCGACGTGGTGTTCGATAGTCCACTGCACTAGCCTGGGCTGGGCCCTGCAGGGGCCAAGGGAGAGCCCAGCTGCTCCCCGGTGACTTCCAGTATAACAACTGCGTAAAAGAGATTCCCACAAATAAAAGGACAAGTGTGAGGATGACTGCGCAGCCACCGCACCCCCGCCTCACCTGCAGCTCAGGGGCCTCACCCCCCAGCCAGCCAAGCCCCCTGGGCTGGGAGCCGGCAAATGCAAACCTTCCCCTCCAGCTGCTGCCACAGGCTGTGGTTTGAGATTTGACTCTGGACCTTCGATGTGCCCTTAGGTGGAGACAGGCCTCATCCTCACCTATCCCCTGCCACACAGTCCAGCACGAGGGAGTGGAGTGGCCGCGTGTGTGCCCTGCCCAGTTCTGCTCTGGGAAGCCTTTGGTAGGCAAGCTCCTCTGGCCACGGAACAGCTCCTCCAGCCGTGTTTGCTTTTCTTCCTCCTTATTTTATTTTGTAGAAACCGGATGGTATTTTATTGGTCTTCAAAGATGTCCAGAAGCCGTGTATATAATGTTTTTTAAACAGAACTTTATTCCCAGATGAACTTTCTCATTCTCTAGGACAGGGGCCTAGGGCCGTCTCGCCCTCCCTGAGCCACCACCAGAGAAGGTGCCGGTGTCCGCCTGCCAGCCCAGGGCCCGGAGGAGCCAGCTTCACAGAGAGGCTTTTCTTCCCAGCTGGGCCTGGTGGAGCCTGGGGCAGGGGGAGAGCTGACTTACGCCCCCATGCAGCCTTCAGCCGAGTTTCGCTGGGGCCAGGAGGACGTGCTGCTTGTTCTCAAGTGGACTAGGCCCCTGGCAGAGTTCAAGGACCACCAGGGTCTCAGAGACTTGGTAGCCCCGGCCCCATCTTCCGGGCCTTGTCCACCCAGCCAGGCTTGCCTGAGAGGGTGAGGCCCAGCACTGCGTAGACCATCCCCACCTGCCCCTCAGGGCCTAGGTCTCCAGCTCTTTGACCAGTCCGGTCCCATTTCCTCATCCCCTGGGCCTCCCAGCCTCCAGGCTGCAGGACTCTGGCATATTAAAAATGGAAAAAATCAACTTTTCAACATGTCCTTCACTTTGATTTTGCAAGCACCGCACTCTGCCGCCCTCCTCCTCCCTGCATCCATTCTTTTCTTGTCTTTCCTTCCCCATTTCCTTCCCTGGGCCTCTTTCCCTGCATCCTGGCCTCTCATTGTCTCTTGCCCCCCTACTGCAGATCTCATGGTCTTCCTCCCAGAAACAGACCAATCTCTGGCCCGTGGGTTTAGGGTTCCTCTTGGGTTATCTCCCACTTCTGACCTGGAATCAACAGGCCCCTTTCGTACCCTCTTACCTCTCACTCTAGGGACTGCTATTTCAAGATCACCCTTCAGGCCTTTCCAAAGCAAACTCCTTTTGTCTTGTCGGGGACCTAATAGGACCACACACTGCCCCATCTGCACTGCCATACACACATGGGCACCACCATAGTGCTACAGGAGGCTCATGGGGGGCAGGACCCCTCTGATGAGAGCTTCAGCCAAAGAGCTGCCTCTAGGGGTCATGAGGGCAGTGGCCAGGCCCTCCAGGGAGCAAGATCTGGACCTCCAAGGGACCACTGGGGCCTGGCTGCTTCTCTGCACATACCCTCAGGCCTACTCAGTTAGCTCCATCAGACTCAGAGCTTCAAGGTGGATCAGTCTGGAGTACTGGGAAAGACAGGCTCCAGGCCTCCACCAATGAAGAGGAAGCTCCTTTGGACCTGATGTTGGTAGTAGCTGTGCCTTCCGCTCCAAGGACTTTTCCAAAAGGACATTTTTTCTGGCCTTCGCGCACCATAGAATCACTGCCTTTGAAGCTCTTGTCATCTGATGTTTCATGGCCAGAGAGGTGCCCTTAGCTTGTCTCCTTTCCTTGCCACCCTGACCTTGCCTCTCCACAAATTCTTTCCTTCTGGGGACCTGCCTCTTCCTGTCTGGTTTGGCTGATGGGGAGGAGGGTATTTTCTGGACTAAGCTTTGTCATCATTATGGGAGGCAGGCGGGAAGCAGGTGAGCTCTGAGACAATGAGCGTGAAGCCTGTGGCCCCTTCCTGCCCCGTGATGTCAGGAACCTCCAAGGTCCAGCTGAGGCCAGGTGTCCATCTCCTTTCCCTACAGTGCATTGGCTCTGGTGGAGTAGCAGAGCATACACCATCTCTGACCTGGCCTTCCAGAGGTTTCTCTGGGAGGGGGACTCTCTATTGAGCTTCTGGCTGGGGAGAAGGGACCCTCACTGAGGACCAAGTGAGGCCGACCGTGTAGCCTGCCCAGCATAGCGCCTGGCATATGGTGGGTACTCATTAAATGCCTCTTTCCCTCCCTGCAGCTCTTTGGGAGCCCTGACATAGTGAGTTGGGGAGGTAAGAAGCCTCCCTCCCTAAATCTGCACCTTTCAGAGGCTTCCTTGTGGCTTGCCCAGTCCCTCCCTCCAGGTCCCTGTGGCTAAAGCTTCTGAGAGGAAGGGGCTCCCCCATGCAGTTGGACTTCCATGTACATATGGTACACTCTGGAACTTCTCAGGTCCAGTGTGGGCTACAAGAGGACCACAGACCCAGCTGTCATTCTGACGGGTAGAGCAGCTCATGCAAGGTCTCAGGTCTGGCCAGGGAGCTGGGTGCCTCTTCCTGCCCTTCTCTTCCTCTTCCAAAGGCAAGCCTTCAGGGCAGGAACCAGGAAGCCTTGGGGAGAGTCTAAAGGGCTAGAGCATTTTAAAAAATAAACACAGGGTCTTGGGACTGGGTTTTGAGATTGAGTTGAGAGCAGGGAAAAAACCCTGAAGGTTGGTGCCCCTATGGGGCAGACCAGTAGAGAACTCCCTTGACTGTATTTTTTTATCTGGTTGTCTTTCCTCTCTGGCTTCCAGGTCCTCTATGCCAGGGGAGGTACCTGGGTCCCTGTTAGAAGACAGGAGCCCTGTAGGGAGAGCCCTCCTTTTGTATAAGTACCTGAATGCTGCAGTGAGCAGACTTTTGTAAAATTTTATATTAGTTTCTAATGTCAATTGTGACTCGGTTCCTGGGGGCTGCAGCCAGCTTGGGACTTTTGTAAGAATTTTTGGGTGACTCACTTAGATGTCGTTTCCTTCTTGCTCCCTCTTCCTCTGTGTAATCTAAGTGCATTAAACATATTTGCAGAAGTGCCTGGATCTTGTGCTCCTTTCTGGATGCCTGGAGTAGGGGAGCGGAAAGCCTGGGGCCCTGGTAGAGGGGGTGGGTTGGACGCAGCCACTTAGAAGAAGCCAGGATGGGGGAAGGCCCCAGAAGACTGTTGTCGGGAGTGGTGGGGGTGCCAAGGAGCAGGATCACGCAGCTGGTGACTCTTCAGTCATGCAGAAATGACTTTGCAGGGACAGGCTCCTTTTCACTGGTCTTGAATTCCTCTAAGGTCGTGGGGGTAGGTGCAAGGCACAGGTCTGGGAAGATGAGTGGGTGGGTCAAGACCCTCTTTATTCCCCTTCTGCCCTCCTCTCACCAAAAAGCCCTTTCCCCTTGGAAAGGTGGGCCTTCCTTACCTCCCATTTTAGAGTCCTCGTGTCCCTTCCAGCGAGGGCCAGGAGACAGCCACTCCCCTAACCATCTAAGTTCAGCCTCCTAACCCACTGCCTGATAGCAGTTTGGAGGGGCAGCCTCAGAGCCGTCACACCCACTGGGCGACACAGAAGCCAGCCTTCCCTTCCTGTGGCCTGGGTGAGGAGGTGATGGATCCTCCTTCTGTGGATTGCCCGGCTCCTGTTTCTTCGGGGCCTGGCATGGAAAACAGAGCCCAGTGCCCGTGGGGAGAAGACAACAGCCTGGGACCTCAGAGGCAGGAAGGAGAGGATCCACACCCAGACCGGGTACCCAGAACCTGCAGGACTGCTCTGGGCCTTCACGTGTCCTTTCCCTTCCTGCTAGGCCTAGCTCTCTGGGAGAACAGCAGGGCCTTTTTTCTGGTCCTCAGGATGGAGCCGTAGCACCCAGAGGCTTCTGCTGGAGCTACTGGCAGAAGTCCTGGGGGGATCACGAGAAGGGAGGGGGCAAAGGGTGTCATTTCTTATGAAGGGACTCCCTGTCCTCTTTGAGAACCAGTCATATCTGGGGGACTTTCCCCAAGCCGAGGTCAGTACTCCTTCCCTGTGAACTCCTACTGAACCGTCGTGGCTGGCCCCTGGAACAGTGGGGCAGGTCCTGTCTGGGGCCCTCAGTCACTGGCAGACAGAGCAAGGGAGCTGGGAGGGTCTGGAGCCAGGCTGACAAGCACAGGGCGGCCCAGGCCACACCCCTTCCCCTTTTCTTTTCTCCTTGGAGGTTGGGGGGTGATTATCTAATCTTCCTCATCTGACCAACCTAGAAGGACCCAGGGCCACAGAGTTCCTGCCCCAGAGAGTACAGAATTGCAAGATTCTGTGTTTTGGTAGTTCCAGGAGACAGGACTAGGCTGTGGTTATTTCTGGAAAGAGGCTCCTGTGCCTATATCAGAGACCCCACCCTAGATTTAGGGAGGGGAGAAATCTGCCATGTGTTATGTAATGTAGCCTCCAAAAGACCTGTACATTCCTCCAGGTGTCGCTCTGCCCCATCTGGGGGGCAGGGGGTGGGATGGGGTTCAGGGGCCCTGGGTTGTGGGGAACCCACAGGCTCCAGAGCCATGGGGCTAGGGAGCCTAGGAGATTTGCCAAACTAGCCTGACCAGAAGGAGAATGCAAGCTGGAAGTGACTCAACGCAGCCTGCCAGGCACTGAGGCAGCTACAGGTTGCAGCCCAGAGGAGGTGGGGAGACCAGGGTGGGGGTGAGGGATTGAGGCGCAGGGCAGGAAAAGGGAGAGATCTGTCCCAATACAGCAGCGGGGAGGCTGGGGGCGGGGGGGGGGGGGGGGAGGGGGGGGAAGGGGGGAAGGGGGGGAGGGCGGGGCAGGTCAGGATGTGGTTTGGGAGGGGCAACCATCTCTAGGCCCCTTCCTTGGGGGTACCATGGGACAGTCCCTTTCTCTCCCCCTTACTTCCAGAAGTCTTTGGGAGAGAGCTAAGGACAGGATGGGGGAGGGGGCAAGATGCCTGCTGGTGGGAGTCCATGGTCTGTGTTCGTTCACTCATTCTTTGAACAAATGCATGCTAGGCCCTCTGCTATACTCTGGGAGACTGGACACAGGCCCAGCCTTAAAGAGTATGTAGTGCAGTGGGGAAAACAGGGAAACAATTGCAAGGAAGAGCCATAAAAGAGAAAGGCAGTAAGCCGCTTTCCGTCCTACACCAGCTCCACCACTTATTGTCAGTATGACTTTAGGTTTTTCATCTGCAAATGGATATTCACTTCACAGAGCTTTTGCAAGGATTATATGAGACAATACACATGAGACCCCTGGCACATAGTAATTGCTCGATTAGTGTTAACCATTTATTAAAGGGCTATGCTAGCTAGGGTACAGACATAGGAAAGGTACCCAACCCGATCTGGGGAGATTAAAAAAGGCTTCCAGAAAGAAGTGACATCTAAGTCAAAACCTGAAGGATACTTAAGGATGAAGAGGGGTCTTTACTTTCAAAAGCCTTCCAGGCAGATGGAACAAGGACAAAGGCCCCCCAACTCTTCTTGGGATCGGTAGAGTTCAAATTGCTTTAGGTTTAAGGCATCAAGCTTTCATTTGAGAGCCATTCCCTTGCCTGTTGGATGGAGAACATTTTGAAAGACAGCAAGATTAGAGGTAAGGCCCAGGCAGGCCCGGATTAAGGGAGAAGCAGTAGGGATGGAGAGAATGGAACTCATTCATTGATTCAACAAATATTTACCGAGCACCTACTATGTGATAGGTCCCATTCTAGGCACCAGAGATACATCATTAAAAGAAAACTCCTCCTGGGGTGCCTGGCTGGCTCAGGTGGAGGAACATGGCACTCTTGATCTCAGGGTTGTGAGTTTGAGCTCCACAATGGGTATAGAGATTACTAAATAAATAAATAAATAAATAAATAAATAAAACTTAAAAAAAATTTTTCTCCTTTCACAGATCTTATATTTTAGTGTTGGGAGGTAGATAATATTTGTTTAAAATAGAGTACAGAGGGGTGCCTGGGTGGCTCAGTTGGTTAAGTGTCTGACTTTGGCTCAGGTCATGATCTCGTGGTTCTTGAGTTCAAGCCCTGCATCAGGCTCTGTGCTGACCGCTCGGAGCCTGGAGCCTGCTTTGGATTCTGTGACTCCCTCTCTCTCTGCCCATCCCCTACTCACTCTCTGTCTCTCAAAAAGTAAATAAACAAAAAAGTTTTTGAAAAATAGAATACAGAGTACATGGGTATATGCACTCTGGACAAAAAATAAAGCAGAGGAGGAGAGACGGTGAGGGTTGGGGTGGAGTGTGTTTTTAAATACAGAGGTCAAGGAAGGCCTCGCTGCATAGGTGACATTTGAGCAAACAATCTCAATGATAGGAAGAAGCGTGCAATAGGGACATCTGGAGGAAGCGTGGTCCAAGCAAAGTAAAGGGCAACTGCAAAGATCCCAGGGGTAGGGGGAGACACACCAGGTTTACTTAAGGAACAGAAGAGGAAGCCAGTGTGGCTAGAGCAGAATGAGAGGAGAGGAATAACGGGAGATTACTTATACAGATGGCAGATTGTGTAGGACCTTGCAGGCAATTATAAAACGTTGACTTTTACTCTGGTTGAAGTGGGAAGCCATTGGGAGATTTTGAGCAGTGGAGTGACACAATCTAACACATTTTTAAAAGGTTTCTCTGGCTACTGTGTTGAGAACTGACTCCAGAAGGTAAAGGCAGAAGCAGAGAAACCAGTCAGGATCTAGGAAATAATCCAGGCTAGAGATTATGGTGAACTAATGGAGATGTGAAGAAGTAGTCGAGATTTGCTGAAGGTTTAGCTATGGAATGTTCACCAAGAAGTGGAAGATGGCAGTGGGAGAGGGGCGAGTGGGGGAAGTGCGCAGAAAGTAGTACAATTTAGGACATGATGACTGAGATATTCATTGTACCTCCAAGTGAAGATGTCAAGTAGTATACAAGTGGATAATCTGAAAGATATTTAACAAAGGATCTATAACACCTGATGACTGATTGAATGGATAAGGGAGGTGAAAGACAGGGAGATATTAAGGTAGCCTCCCTGATGCTTGGCTTGGTGATTAAGTGGCTGACAGGTCCAGTGGAGGAGAACAGGCTGGAATGTGAAGAAGATGATGAGTTTAGTTTCCAATACATTGAATTCAAAGTGCCCGTGGGACATCTGGTTGGCTACCTGATCGGCAATCAGGAGGGTGAATGTGTGGGCTGAAGATACTGACTGGGGAGTCACCAGTAGACAGAAATAAAGCTTAAGGAGCCAGAGGCTCCAGGTAGCCGGTGTCGATTATTAGCAAGAGACTAGGTTGGAGGGCAGGACGCTACGGACTGTCAACTTTTATGAGATGGAAATTGGAGAAGTCTGTGGTTAGAAAGATAAGAAGAAAATCAGAAGAAGAGTGTGATGTCTTACAAGTTAAGGGGAGCCGTCTAGAAAGGTAAGGAATGCAAGGAATCCTTATCCTGGAGGGCATTGGTGAGGAAGACAGAGAAGGACCCTCTAGCTGCTCTAAGATAGACGTTGTTTTTTCTCCTCACCATCTTTAGAACATGGAATTAAGAATTAGGACTTAGGGGCACCTGGGTGGCTCAGTCGGTTGAGCGGCCGACTTTGGCTCAGGTCATGATCTCGCGGTCCGTGAGTTCGAGCCCCGCGTCGGGCTCTGTGCTGACAGCTCGGAGCCTGGAGCCTGTTTTGGATTCTGTGTCTCCCTCTCTCTGACCCTCCCCCACTCATGCTCTGTCTCTCTCTGTCTCAAAAATAAATAAATGTTAAAAAAATAATAATTAAAAAAAAAGAAAAAAAAGAATTAGGACTTGGAAGCCATTTTCTCCTTGTTTGTTCATTCAGACATGCAAGCATTCATTTATTCATCCATTCAGGATAAGATTTCCCATGTGAGGGGATGCCAAGTGCTGAAGACAGAGGCTCTGTCCATAAAGGGACTACATTACCACCCCACCCCCATCAGGAATAAAGAGATGGAGGTCCTAGAGCAGAGAGGCTCCCTGGTTTTATGGAAGGATCAGTGACCCATGGGTTATACTGAATTGGATTTGAATCTCAGTTCTACCATTTAGAACGTTAAT